CCAGGAAGGGGCCCAGCAGCCCCAGGGGAGGGAACCAACGCAGAACCCAACACAAAACCTAAAATCCATGTAGATTATCGTGTGCTTTCGCCCAGTCTGACAGGAGCTGTGAAAGCAGGAGGCCTGCTTGCTCCTGGGGCGGTCCGGCTCCGCCGCAGGGATGTGCCGGGGGCAGCGATGCCCGGAGCAGCTCCATCCTGCATCTCCGCTTCTCTCCATCCTGCCCAGGGCTTGCTGACCCCCCGGCCCCGTGCTGCTGCCTTTCCAGGTGTCCTACAGGAGAGAACTTCTGCTCCTGCTCCAGTCCTGCGGCTGCACGACTGGGAGACGCTGAAGTCCGGAGTTTGAGCCAAGCCCCGGTTTTACTCTGGGGCTTCATTTACATCCAAGTAGCCTTTGCATCCTGTGTTGCCCGAGGAGGTGCTTGAGCCTGATGCAACAAATGGGTTCATAACACTAACCCTACTGTATTGGTGACTATTGTGAACGCATTAGGTGAATGCTTTGATTACAAATATTTTGGGGTTTTATTATTTTAGTATTGAAGTCTACTATGGCAGGATAGGCTAAATTAATAAGCTGTGTGTTTACTGTCTAGATAGCTTAAGGCAAAGATTGTCAATGAGGGTCTAGATCCTTGCAGAGGACATTTAATCCCTTTACAACATGGTTTTCTTGCAAGCTTTACTATTACAAGTTTCCAGTTCTGGACAAGGTAAAAAAGCTCGAAAGAAACTGGTTTTTGTACCTGGGCACATGTTATCATCACACAGTTCTGACAACAATTCACATGAAAACTGGTTATTTTGTGGATTTTTTTTAAAACAAATGTTATTACAGAAAAAGTTATTCGTTATGTCCCAAACCTTTTCAGGAAGAAATAAAATTAATTTTTTGTTCAAAGAGCACCACTTTGTGGTCAGTTGTAGTAAATGACACTTTCCTGCACCTAAATGTATCAGAAGCAGTGCTGAAATGAGTTAATTGAAATAGGAAGGCAATTTTATTCACTTTGGTCCAATAAAAAACACTTTCAGAAGCATCAGATGTGATTTGAAATCTGAAATGTTTTCAGAGAAAGATTGAATTAATTCCCTTTGTCGCCAGTGATTTCTACTTAGCACATCAAATTACATCACAGAGCAAAGGTTTTCATTAGGGTGACTGGTAATCATACTGGTATGCAAATTATAACGTGGGTTTCTCACACTTTTGTTCAAAGCTGCATAATGTATTTGAACTTTACCTTTGCTCATCTCAATATGCAACATCTAAGGAGCTTCAAATCTTTTTTTTTTTTGTTTCAGAATTAAGCCACGTTTGAATCAATATTCAGCAACAGTTATTATGAAAATGTGTATTATACTCAGCTCACCCAGAGGGTGACAGCAAATAGTTACTCCTCAAACTGACAACGTGTCACAAGTGGGGTCCCCCAGGGATCCACGTTGGGCCCAGTGATGTTTTACATCTTCACATGTGATCTGGATGTTGGGATCAAGAGCACCCTGATGAAGGTGGACACCAAGATGAATGGAGAAGCTGACACTCCAGAAGGGACAGCCACTCTCCAGGATGACCTAGACAGGCTGGAGGAGTGGGCTAGCAGGAACATTATGAAGTTCAACAGGGAGAAGTGCAAGGTCTTGCAGCTGGGAACACATAACCCAGGAGCGCAGTTCAGCCTGGGATCCACCTGGCTGGAGAGCAGCCCTGTGGAAAGGGACCTGGGGAGAATCTGATTGGACACAAGAGGTAAATTTTTCACCGTGAGGACAATCAAACACTGGAACAGTTTCTAAGAGAAGTGCCTCACATTGGGCAGCTTTAAGTCTCAGCATGAGAGGGTGCTGAGCCATCTCATATCAACTATAGTAGTACCTAGAAAGGTTGGACCAGATGATCTTTGAGTTCACTTCTAACCTGGCATTCTGTGATATTACATAGAAGGAGATATTTACACTCAGAATGTAATTCTTTACAGAAATATCTCCATGGATCCTTTAGTTGGATTATTCAACTCCTCTTAGTTTGCTTTTAAGCAGATAAAGTCTGTGTTTACTCCCAGCAGCTGTCTGCATTGTTAAATGGTGTGAAGGAAAATTGTACTTGGGAGAGAATTGGTCCATGTTTTGTCTTAACTTATGCCAGCACACAAATTGACCAGACTTGAAGGTGTATTTGGCTTATTGAGAACATTAGTATTTCCTGTTTTTTCTTTATTTCTTCATTAAGTGAAATTATAGTCACTTTCAGAGACTCCTTCCCTACCATTCTAGAGGCACAGCTCATTTCCCTTTCTCTTTTCTCTTTTCCTTTTTTCTAATGAAAGAGAAATAGATGGTTGAGAAGACCCAAAGTAGCACATAGAGCTGTCTAAGCCTTTCGTTTATATAAGAGGCTGGGCTGGCTAGATTTTTAGTTGCTTTAAGATAGAACATGTTTTAAATACTGTAATACAAAAATGCATTGGTATGTATCAGTAGTACAAATTATCATCATTTAGTCAAATCTTGCAAAAAGGGCAAGGTTTGATAGGATGTGAATATAAATCAAGACCAAGAAAAAGGTATGCTATCTTTATGTAGAACCAGTGGCAAACCAGTAAGTTTTTCTGTGAGCTCTTCCACTCGTGTCCCTTCTTATTTCATGGTGGAAAACATGACTTTTACTTGTGCCTGCTCTTCTACAATTTATAAAATTCTGTTCATACTGAAAAAATGCTAAAACCATGTTTAATCTTATGCAGGTTGGTCGAGAATATTTTTAATGCCTGCCTTTACTGCCTTGGAAGAATATCTATTCCTGTTTTCTGTTGGTTTTCCTGTTGAAAATTATGAATGTGCCAAATGTGATTACCAATAGAGACTGCATAATACTGCACTGTAAAACAGATGTTCTTTGGGATAATTTGTCTCCTTTCATTTTATAATTTCACTCTGGCATTATTCTGACACATCCTATGAATCAGAGCACAGCTATCATTTTTCTTTACTGTTATTAGGTTTCTGGCTATTAAAATGATTAATCTGCTTGTTAATAATGTAACTGAAGTTTCTTATTCTAACCTATTCCCCAAACACTCATCAGTTCACAGCACAGAAAGAATTAAGTAGTTTATGTGATTTAAGATTCAAGGGTTGTTGTTTTGCCAGACACTTGTACTGATGCCTCCCATTTTGGCTGTGAATTTTATTGTGGAGTTTTTTGTAATGCTTGTTGCTGAGGAAAAATCAACCTAGTTTTGGTATAGTAATTTCTGAAATGTAGTAATCCATTGAGCAGGCCTCTCAGTCTACCTTTTCCAAGAAAAGAGAGCAGGATGCTTGAGTGTTGTGTTGGCAGTAAGTTTGCTGATGTAGGTCCACATGTGGAAAGTTTCCCAATAGTAGGTCTGGTTGAAGACATCCAAAATTGCTGTCATAGCTCGTTTGGTGTTTTATAACCAAAAGCCTCTGCTAGAGAGAGGAAAGGAGAAGGGAATAATTTGTGATGTGTCAAAGACCACTGAACACTTGGCAGTTAACATTTGGATTGATTTACCCACACCTTCATGGTATTCTCATTCTGCTGGTCTCTAATTTAGCCTTGGACAAAGAATGCCCTTTTGAGAAAGTGTTGTAGAATGGCAAATTGAGCTGTCTCATCATGACTGATCATGCCAGCTGCTGGAAGATTTTCTCCTCTGCCTGGGTAAGTTTTACTCAGGAGGTGTGATTGAAAAGCCACTAGAATCTCTCAGGAAAATGGTGTCATTTCAGTAGCAGTGACGTAGGAAAAGAATATAGAAATATTGAAGTATGTCTTGCAGGAATAACATTCCATTTTGCAAAGAGATCTGTGTTAAATTTGAAGAAGCTGGAATACTTTCATCAGCAAGGAGTAGCTCAGCTGAGAGCTACTTTTTATGTTCAGGTCAAGCAGAAACACCATTAGCAAAGCTGAATTGCTGCTGGTGTTTCTGTGCTCTATGCATATCTATGTTCAGGCAACTAAAAAACCTAATTTTTCAAGCAATGAAGTATTTGTCCAAGGTGTCATGGACCAGAACAATGAGACTGGCCATGTCACTGGCTGGGTGAAAACTTTGTGTTTAATTTGCAGTGTTTAATGTACATTATATGATCTCAGCTGACTTTTTTTGAGCGCTTCTTGCTAGGGATCTACTTGAAGAGATTTTTGTTAAGTGATGTTCCACCCCATTTCCAATATATTGAGTGCATTGCATTTACTGAACTGCAAAGTTCTGTCATCACCCAGAGGCACTGACACAAAATCGTTGTGGGTGAGGCGTGGTCCTATTTATAACGAGTGAAAATCAGGTCATTGTCTCTCTTGTTTACTGATCTGTTTAAACTTTGGTTTCCATGAACACTCATGCTTGAGATTTTGAAATTTGCTTTTTGTTAGCAGTTTTTGCATTTGAAAAGCAGTAGCTTGGTTCTCTATAGGGATAAACAACCCTCAACTCCATAACTTTAGCTAGCTTTGAATATGGTGTTGTTGAAGCATGCAGTCCTGCCAATGTGATCCTACTGCTCCTGAAACTGAAAAGTAACATTTTTTCATGACTTCTTGTGAACCCAGATCATTCTGTTTCTTCCCACTTCAGGGCTAACTATAGACAGTGCTTAGGGGTGCCTTTGCTTCCCTGTTTAGCCTTGCCTGCAGCATGATCCTTATTTTCTGTTGTGAATTGCCTATGGCCATCAATCATGGCCCGGTTATGTCCCTTCTCTCCTTTTGGATTTTACTTCCCTATGATGATAGGGTTAAGATAGAAAACATCATGTTCCCTTAGTTTTCCGTGGTGGAAATATCTACTTCACTGTCTTGAAGCAAAGCAATGACATTTACAAATAACACTGGAGATTTGTGTTAGTCCATCTTCAAAACTTTACTGAATTTGCTCCTTAGAAGCTGCATCCCACTGGGCTAACATCAGAAGTTTATTTGTGGTAGTCAAGGTTTGGAGTTAAAGAGGTCAGACCACTTTGCTTCGAATGAATCTGTATGTTACATAAACTCTTGAGAAACAGGAACAGAAAGTGACTTATGTATTTATACCACAAAACACGAATCAGTTAAATATTTCTGGCATAAAAAAAGGAACATGATGAGAATCTTTTGTCCTAAGGGGAAAAGAACATGTGTATTGTGATTATTTTTTTTTTAACATTTTCTGCCACCATTCCACTTTTTATGGTTTTGAGTTGGATGACCTTCCTCTGGCAGTGTATTTATGTCAGACATCACGGCCTACAGAAAATATTTTATACATCTGAAGACCCTGGCAACAGTTCTAAGTTGAGACTGAATATTTTGGTGTTTCTTTGTCACTACTGGTTAGTAAATTACAGCCTCTTAGTTGATAGCTTCTCTTCGAGCTGTGGGAGGGAAACTATTTCAAAATAATGCTGAGAACTCAAGCATCAGAGCACAAATAATGTAATAAATAGCACAACTGCTAAAATGGTCATAGCAATGTACAGTGTGTTCAGTACTCCCAAATGACAAGCTAGAGCATTCATTCTCTGAACACCTGTTCTGGGGAGAAATAATTTCCTTGCTGAAATAAGTTCTAAGTATTGGTAAATCCTCTCCTGTTTGCTCTGTTCAGTGGAATAGAATGATACAGAATTGACTATTTTTCTCCAAGCTTTGCCTGAATGCTCCCTGAACAAGGGGATTAGTGTAAAAGCAAGGGTTGGGGCTCCTTTAGAAAGGAGGCAGAATATTTGTCTGCAGGGACAGTATTTAGTGCTCTGAGCTGAGAGTGCTGCTCCCTTGGCGTGTGCTGCTCACGTAGAACACCGGGCAGCTTCCACAAGGGGGTGTCTGTACTCCCTCCTTAGCAAAGAGAGCCCCTGGAAACACCACTGAATTGCATTGCTGTCTCATTAGATAAAGGGAACCCTTGACTAAGAGTCACTTCAGAATAAAAGGTGTTTAAAACGTGTTATTTATGTTCACTGAGAAAATAAACGTGCAGCTTTCCCACCTCCTTTAACAATGTCTCTATTGCAGAAAGCTATCTTCAGTAATATAGGCAGAACTAATGAAAAGGTAAGGATGAATAATGGAGATTATTCCGAGATAATAATGGAGATTATTACCAGGCCTTATGCATTGCCATTATTTAAACTTTTTGGGAATCTATCTAAGAGGGAGGAAACAAATATACAAAAGAATGCAGAGGCTCATCCTAATCCATTCAATCTATTCATATCTGGCCTAGTCCCTAAGAAAATTTGTTTAATCTTGGTAGGAATTACTCAGGAGTAAGTAAAAATCAAATAAATGCAGACATTTCGAGGCTATTTAGCTTTTTAACTAGTGCTTTCACATGGAAAGTGGAACCCTGGTTAGCTTTGAGCAACCTTATGTAGCTGTACATGTAGGAAGCAAGAAATGAAGAACACACCTAGTTATATAAAAACTAGTAGGCTATATTCAGTAAGAGAAAAGGCATATATTTGTATTTAGCTCCACTTTTGGTAGTCTGTTGACATTAAAAAGAGCTCTGTCTCTTACAGAAGTTGTGCGGGGATGGAGTTCTCTAGGGAGAACAATCACTAAATCCACGAAGCACTTTTTAATCTCAGTTGATCCTGGCAGCAGTCTTTGGCAAAACTTAGAGCAGCAATGGTTTGTTACAGAAGACTGGCATCATTTCCCATGATGTAACAGGGTATGTAAATGATTCAATACAGTCAACGTTAAGATAAAAAAAAATCTAAGTAGAGACAGACATGCAGGAAT